AACTACTAAAAAGTAAACTGAACAACTATCTAATACTATATAACAACTACAACTATCTACAGAAAACAGGCTAAGCTAGGGAGAGTGGAGAACAGCTATGCCGCGCTCCACAGTTCCAACGACCGTCAGGGGCGGTAAGAAGGATCTGAGGGGGCGCCGGGTCGGCTGGGGTATTTATCCAGCGCCATGAAGGCGCCACTCTAGGGGGCTCCACAGCCGACCCGCTGGGTGTTGCTAGGGTAGAAAATTCTCCGACGATCGTGCACGCGGCGCGCGCACACCTGATTGGAATCGATATGAGCAAGCACTGGAAGAAGAACCTCAGTTGACCTGCCAACTACTCAGGAAAACAGGCTTTTTTTATATGCTTTTATTTGCAAGAAAGATGGGACAAACTCCTGAATGGAGATGTTTCTTTTAAACTTTCTTCTATAGTGATGACAGAAATTACATATAGATACTGACATATCAATATATAGTGTCTGCCACGGTAATGAAAGACAAAGGGCCAGATTACTTGGGATCATCTATTTAGCACCCAGCTCAGTTTGGGGAGCAGGGACTGCAAAGGGTGGCTATAAGCCACCTTTATGTCCTCCCTTATCCTTGGGGTCACCAGTCCAGACTCTTAAGTTGTCCCAGCCTCTGAGGCTGCTCCTCTAGCTGGGGACAGTTTGAGTACAACAGTGCTCAGGCCACACGTCTATACTTGAGAGCAGTGGAGGGGAGGAGTGAAGTGGTGAGGGATGAGTGGGTGGCATAAGAGCTGCTACACCACCTGGGAATTCCCCATCCTGAGATGATCCCCAAATGTCTGGTTACAATAGATTTAAGGCTGTTTTACATCACTGGAAAAGTGTAAAGCAGCTTTAATGAGGCCAAGTAGCTGACCCAGTGTTATTACATAATATTGCAGAGTTTCTTGCCAAAAATAAGCCAATGCTATGTTTACCAGTGTGGCTCCTTCAGGATGAATGTACATTATTTTGTTACTGTAAGGAGAAGACAGGCCTTAGGCAGTGTTTACAGAAGGCTTATTACACTGTTTTCATTATTTTTCCTTCCTATTTTCTTTTTGAAAACTTGTTAACTGTTTCTTTATTGTTTTTCCAATATTCCCTTAACAAGAGGTGACTCTCAAAAAATATCTTTCTTTACACTACTCTGTATTTGACAAGAAACTTGTCTGAATGGCAAAATGCTTTTCTCCTAGCATTGTATAAGATATCTGTGCTTGTACGTATGAAAGAATGTGTGTATAATATAACCATCAAACTGTAATAATACTTTGCAAAATAACACCTTTTATCCAAGGACTGCATAGCACTTACAAAAAGGGGATAAAGTTTCATTATTCTCATTTTCAAGAAGGGGAAACAACAGCAAAAAGGCTGTGTAACACTGGATGACTCACTTAGAGCTTGATTTCAATAAGATTACTCACAGAGTAAGGCACTACTAAATGTTAGCAAGGGCAGGAGAATCCACGAGAGGCGGGAATAGAACCTACTGACTCTCAGTCTTGTGCTTTCAGGAAAGGATTGTGATAGGAATCTAACACAAAAAATGTTATCAACTCTATCCCCAAAAGTTTGTTGTTAGAAATGTGGTAGTTTGGTACATAGCGAATAAAAAAGGTAGTGATACAGACTAGCCTGAACTGTAGTTGGTATAGGCTGCACTATAAGATGCTGATCAAACAAAGAACGAAGAGGTAGAACAAATCATTTACAAATATTTATTTTTTAAAACAATGTAGTTAGATGTTTTATTGAAGTTCTGTGTGACAAGAAATGCATGCATTTTCCTGTGCACACCAAATATTATGAAGGCAGACAGAAAACAGAAATTAAAATTAAGATGGCATTGGGGCTGCACATTCATTTAGAAAAGGCAGAGCCCCATAAGCAAGTCACATTTAAGGGGTGAAATTAGACAGACACTTGTACATGTTTTGTGTGTTTGTAGGATCCATTATTTACCCTAGTTTCATCAATTATGTAACTCAACAGCATACAATCTAAGTGTCTTTATCAGCATCTTTCAAATGGTATTCAGAGCCCATTTAACAAGCTGTGTTGCATAAATGTCTACAATAAATTAAAGCAGCTTAAAGCTCCAAATGGATTCTCCCATCATGAAAACAAGAGAGATTGTATTAAAAAGGAGGAGGTGATCTAATCTTAAAATAGCTGCTTTCTAAGTCATTGGTAAGAAGAGAGATTCAGAGACTGGGGTAAGAAATTATTACCAAAGGAGCTATTTTTTACACACACCTAATCTTAGCTTTTAAGAGGTTTGTAAGGGAAGAAGGGAGAGAGGTGCTTCCTAAACAAGTCTGTAGCCTAATTAACACCGTCTTGCAAAATTAGCTTCTTAAAGATAATTTTCTCAATTTACAAAGTGGACATGTAGTCCAGTTCTGTGGCATCACTATTTTCATAAACTACAAAGATCATAGTTCAAATAAGCTAAAACAGAAGGAAAAGACTTATAAAAGGTTGCTTAGTTTTTTTCTCTCTGCTTCCATTTCCTTCAGTGTACAGGATGTCTTCATAATAATGGAACATTTCTGCAGGCTTTTTTCTGCCTAAGACTAATATTCTAATATGCAGCAAAGATGCCATATTGTTGCAAATCCTTGCTTTCAACAGCCTTACAGAGATGTATGTATGCAGTGGTGTTGCAGCTGTGTCTGTCAGTGGATATTAGAGACACATCATCCTTAATATTGCTTCAGATCCTATGCAGTAGCCTCATGTTGGAACACCTTTTATAGAAAAGATTCTTCAGTTCTGTAGAAACCTTCCCAATGTAAAACATTCTTTTCAATATGAAGCCTGGAACAGAATGACCTAATCTAATTTTTGATTATATGTGAAAGTCTGAAGAACTCATTATCAGAAATTAATGACTCCTAGAAAGGTCAATCAGATGGTCATATTTACCTGCTCCCATAACAGAAGAACAATTAGTGAAACTGAAGGCAACATATGTAAAGATGATTAAAAGGAATACTTTTTCAAAACATGATAAATAAGATGCCACAGGACTCTGTCACTTTTTACAGATCCAGACAAACACAGCTACCCCTCTGATACTTTTCAAAAAATGGCATCATTAACTTGTGGAACTCACTGCTACCAGATATTGAAGCCAATAGCTTACCGGAATTCCAGAAAAGGATTAGACATTTCTATAGATATTGAGAACATCTATAATTATATGAGGTAGGATAATATTTTTGAGAAGTAATATAAACCCTCATGCTTTAGGAATTAAGCCAACCACTAACCAAGGGAAGACTGCAATGTCCTCTGAAGCATCTGGTACTGGTCGTTCTCAGAGAGAGGAATGTGACCCAGCATATGAGATCAGAGGTCCACTTTTGTTCCTATTATTAATGTTAAATACATACATAACTAACAAAAGTATCTTTGATCCCAACAAAGGTCCCATTTTAGAAAGACAGCCAGTGTAATCTTCTCATTACATCAGCTGTTCAATTCAATTTCTCCAAATCACAAACAACAAACTGTATTTCAAACAGAAATAAACCAAGAGGAGGAAAGAATCAAAACAACTTGACTTACTTTTTGCATCCCACAAGATGTCTTGTTCTGGAGGCGCGGCAAACAGGATGTACAGTCGCATAGTGTCTATGCCATACTGCTCTACTAATTCCTCAGGATCTATCCCATTATGCTTGGATTTACTCATTTTTTCCCATGTAACCTGAAGCTTCTCTTTGGTTTTTATGTGAACTGGTTCAGTCCCTAAACATATAGAACATATACAATAATAACTAATTTGGTTCTACAAACATCTGGAGCAGCAAAACTTAATACTAGGTTATTTCTAATCCCTTCTCTGATGGCCTCATATAATTGAAAGAGAAAAAAACAATTATGAGAATAAGACAAAAAACTTTTTTACTTTCATATCTTTACTGAAGTAATATTATAATGTTTCCATCACGCAGGGGAGAAAATGTCTTTCTTCCATTTTATAAAGCTAAATCCAGTGCTCGTGGAAGCTAAATCTATTGCATTAGGATTTTTGCATTAGTGTAGCTATCTCAATGCAAACCTCCTGCGTAGATGTGCTGTACTGGTGTGTACTTCCACTGGAGCAAATTTACCTTGATTCCATCTTTGGATGTTTATAGACAGCAAGTTTGCAGCTAGAGTAAATCACATCGGTGCAAGCACCGCTTTACAATGTATCCATCTACATGGGGAGTTTGCACTGGTGTAGAGCTACACCAGTGCAGATTTCCCTACTGCACACAAACTCTGCCTTTTATACAAGGTACAAGTATAGCACAGGCAGTAGCAAACATATGTTTTCTTAAACTGCTCTGCAAGGATCGCATGTAAGCATTGGAGAGAAGTTCATTCTATGCCCATTCTATCTAGATCTTATCTGTTCAGATTGCCAACAATGGTGTTGACTGTGCTAATGGTTTTGTAATGTGGACATCAGTCTACTAGGAATGGAATTGAGACCACCAACTCCTTTCACATGGGCTAGTGAATGGCCTCCATAAGATACTCACTTTGAGTCATTTTTGGACATAGAATAGGTTTAAGTAAAAACAAATATAGCAGAAATATTGTGTTTGGTAATGGTTACAGGCAATTGGAGTAGTATTTTCTCTGTATGTGGATTCAGCATTAAGCATATGAGTCCAGAACACACACAAAAGTCAATCTCCGGTTTAATGATTACAAGAATTCACTCCTCACTGATGAATTTTCCATGCACTATGACTTGTACATCCTTTTTCACTGAACTAGCCCTTGACTTTTCTGGATGCACCTGTGCTGGTCATCCCATACGGTCTCTTACCAGTGAGATCAATTTCCTCTCTCTTCAGATATTGGCTTGTTGTTGTTAGTTTATATGTCTGACTCTTGATAAGACCTTGAACCAAGAGTTTATAAAAAGGCTCCCTGAGGATGAAAGGAAAAGGAAACCCGTCTGTTGAAAATAGCTGTCAAAAGCACATTTTACAGTAAGCTTTAGAGGCTGAACTCAATTAGACAATTATTTAATGAAAGAAGAATGTCACACTGACAACTGAAATAGCTGTCACCTGCAAAAATCAAAGGATATTTTAAAGAGAAACTTTAATGGGGGAGAAAAATATTTATGAAAAAAGCAATCTGACCATCACTTTCTGCATCCGTCTTTCTGTCACTCAAATATTCATGTTTGAACAAATGCCTTTTCTTTTACAAACCTAGGTCCTCCTTCTGAGTGTTCCCAACAGCACAGGAACACTGGAGTTGCAATAGTGGATCAGAGTCCAGTGTCCTATTTCTGGCAGTCACCAGCACCAGTCAACTCAGAGGAAGGTACAAGAATCCCACAGTAGGCAGATGTGGGATAAGGGTAAACTGTCTACATGTTAGTTACATAACCCCTACTATTAACCTTGGTTTTGACCACTACCTAATTTAACAGAGGAACACTTGGAGTGTCTTTATGAGCACCTTCCAAAATGGTACTTCATAACCTACCTGACAAACTCAATTGCTTAATTGCCTACAATAACTTAAAGGCACTTAAAGATGCAAAAGCTGCAACTGGATCATAAGAACAAGAGAACATCTTAAAAAAGAAGTGATCCAATCCTAAAATAATTGTTTTCCAAGGTAATCATAAGATGAGAGTTCATAAATTGAGTCTTTGCTCCTTATTTCAGGAGAGCAAGCCCTCCCAGACCATTAATTAAAACAGTTAAAAAAATTACAAAAAGATGAAAAATAAAACAATTAATTTTCTCCCCAATACATATGCCTTTCTCTTGAATTTAAAATAGACATTTAAATAACTACCATATTTTACCAAATATGGGAACGTTAACTAAATAATCAGAGCATCAAAAATTGGGTAAATGTCCCAACTGGAGGTAATTTTTCAGGGAAAGCTTGTCTTTTCATGACACAGCATTAGTTCAGGTCAGATGCCATGTTGATAAAAGTTAAATGTAGGAATGTGCATTTCCAATTTCTGTTTACAGGGAAAGAGGTTCAAAGATGCAGTACAAAATACTTTACCATATACGGGGAAAAAGAAAAAAAGGAAACATATTTGATTCAAGTGGGAGAGTACAGAAGGATGGAGACATGCCCAAAATCAGAAATGCTCAGCCTGTGAAAAGATCTGGGGGAGAAGGCAATGCTTAGAAACAAATAGCAAATCAGTACTGAATTTCTTCTGTTGCTCAAAAGGGTTTCACCCTAGGAACAATGTTGGGATGACTCCATCTGCTGGTTAAAGGAAATACAATTTAAAATTGCTATCAGGTAAAAATAGTTGCTTTGATTTTTTAAAAAAACATTTCCAAAGGATTTAGGCAGAATACTACATTATCAGGATCTATTTTATACATTTAGCCCCAATCCTAAGACTTATGCAAGTGCTTAACTCTCCACAATGATAGTTACATTTAAATTAATGAGACTACTCACAGTGCATAAAGTTAAGCATGGTCAAATTAATGGCTCTACTCACAGTGCATAAAGTTAAACGTGTGTGATTCTCTGCAGGATGAGGGCCTAAGGCAAAATTTTACTACTTGTGCCCTGAGCCAGTAAATATTCACAAGGCATATGTACACAAACAACAAATGCAATACAGACTGTAAGAAACTGATCATTTAGCTAAACTTGACGAGGAAGAAAATTCAGGCTCAGAGAATGAAATGAAATATATACCATTGAAAATAATATTGGTACGTCTGCTTCTTCTAGCTCTATAAAATTTCATTCACGCCTGTGGATGCCAGATGCAGTCTGAGACTGATGCTTGAATTATTTTTCATAAAAAAATCTAATAATACTTACTTGTGTTTGGTCATCTTTTGATCATAGCAAAAATGGCTCAAGAATCTAGCATAGTATAAATGCATAACTGCATGCTCCTTTCCCCCAATGTACAAATCCACAGGCATCCAGTAGTCGGCCAAGGCTTTATTAAAAGGCCTAAAACACAAAGTAACAGAAAGCATACATTAAGTATAAAGCAAAAGGAAAAAACAGCTTTACTGGAACACCTCCAATAAGACTTGTCTGGAAATAGATGTTCACAGTGAGCTGCATGTGCATCTTAAACTACATTCTATTAATTTTGCTAATGACTTAATTCCTTATTTTTAAAAAGCAATGTTTGACTTGGTTAAATTACAAAAATCTGTGTGAGAATTTTTAAAAGCTATAGAGAAAGATCCACTGGAATATAATTTACACATAATATCTTAGATGTATGACTATCAGTTCACATGTACCACCTAAAAACTAAAAAAATGCTATGGAAATATTTGCCCGATTTCTATGGAACTTTCATAACTGGGTTGTGGTTATTTGTTCTAGCCTTTTGTGGTTACAAATTGATATTTTGTGGGGGAAAATATATAAAATGTATATATATGGCTATATATTATTCTCCAAAATATACAACAATAAACCAATTTTAAAAATATTGGAATGATTTCATTTATTTATTTAAAATTGAAGGTTTGTGTTGCCACCATTAGAGGGCAGCATGACATTTATTATAGTGTTTAAAAAGCATATTCGGAATATTCATTTGGGGCATCATAAACGAACTTTAAAGATACTGTTTTGGTTTACACCACTTCAAGTAACTATGTCTCTTCAAGGCATGTTTTATAGCCCCACTCTTTAGCAAATGTACCTATTGGACTACCTCAGCTTGTATCAGAACTGTGATTTTATTTTGTTATACATTAGTTATGCTTCCTTAATTAGAGATGAGCCTGGAATAAAACCCTTGATCAGGACTTCACATGTCCATAATGTAGAGGGAGGGATAGCTCAGTGGTTTGAGCATTGTCCTGCTAAACCCAGGGTTTGAGTTCAATCCTTGAGGGGGCCACTTAGGGATCTGGGGCAAAATCAGTACTTGGTTCTGCTAATGAAGGCAGGGGGCTGGACTCAATGACCTTTCAGGGTCCCTTCCAGTTCTAAGAGATATAATAGATTATGGAGATATACCTATCTATAACTAGTCACAAATCCAAATCTCAACACTGTTGTACATAAAGTTTCAAAATGCAGATCTGAACTTTTCTTAAGTTCATTGTGTCCAGATTTGGTGTTTGGAGTTTGACCCATAAAATAAGGGCTTGTCTATATGTTGTTTAACTAAGGCCTTATCTAAACTACAAATGTGTTGGGTGTACAGTTATATCAGCATAACCCCATGGTGTAGATGCAGCAGATGCCCACAGAAGGAGGTTTTCCGTTGGCATAGTAACACCACCTCCTGGAATGATATTAGCTCTGCTGACAGAAACACTCTACTGTTGGCACAGCTGCATCTACACTGGGGTTTTTGTCACATCATAGCTACATTGGCTAGGGTGGTATTTTTTTTCACACCTCTGACTGACACAGCTATGCTGATAAAACTTTGTATAGCATAGACCTGGTCTAAAGGTATGATTTTAACTGATTTAGTTAAACCTGTGCAAAATGCTATGTGGGCACTCTTATTTCAGTAGAAATCAAGCTTATTTCGATGTAATTCACGTCCATTAAGAACATGTTTAAGCTGATGAGAAATGAGTGTGTCTACACAGGGGTTTGCACTGGTTTAACTAAACCAGTAAAAGTTCATGTGTAGTTTGAGCAATGAATCCTGTTCAGAATGTTGTTTTGGGTCCAGTTCTATTTAAAATATGTTATTTCTATAATTTAATTAATTTATTCCAAAGATGTTACTTAATGGTATATCAATACACACCCAGACTGTGCTCAGGGCACAAGCACCACCTGTAGCAGAAAGACAACTAGGACCAATAAATGAAATCCTCTCCATATCCCCCAAGTCTTTATAACCAAAACTCTTCATCAACTCCTTTTCCTCCCCCACCAAGAGAAGCAAGTGGATGTCTTAATATCTCATGTCAGATAAAAAGCAGCTAACCAAAACAAACATATAAATAGTTTTAATGATTGAGTTTGTCTTAAAAAAAGACCCACTGACCAGGATCTTTTTTTTTTTTTTTTTTAAATTAAAGTAGACAAGAATTTTCAACAAAAATGTCTCTCTCTCCCACCCAATGGAGGTCAGATTCTAAATCAGAAACCTTGGCATGTAAAACAAGACAGATCCCAACAGCCGGGTTTGCCTATCATAGGATCATCACATAGTACAATTCGCTGGACACACTGAAGCCATTCTATCAGACACTTTCCCTATATATCTGTGTGAAGACTTAGTAACCCAAACAGTGATACTTCTTATCTAATTTATGGCTAGCCTTTTGCCTACAGAACGGCTCATAAAATATTCAAGAGACAGTAATCATAGGCTGGCTGTCCAGCAACTGCAGACAGCAATCTAATCTGGACAGTGTATAGAAAATACATTTTGGACTGTTGAGTCAGCCTTTGTTCAGCCTGCTTTAATGCTGCATTTGACACAACCTCCAGGGCACAATCAGCTTTGCTAGTACGATAGAAGATGGAGTAAGTAAACAGATAAATAACTTTGTCTATCTCTCACACTGCCCTATTTTATGGTCACAAATGCATAGCATATCTAGAGTTTCCTTTTGTAATACTGTATTTAACTGAAATAGTAAGATGGCAATAGGCCACTATGATGATACTTTACTTTAGCTCTGGACCTAAATTAGCACAACTCTGGCTAGCATAGATTGGTGGTTTTCTTAATTTTGGTCTCTGGGGGAAATTGCTTGATTTCTCACTTCTTTCCTTCTCCGTCAGCTCTTGCCAGCTGGATGCGTTGCTATAAATCCCAGAAGAAGCCAGTTAGCTATATTCTTAGATAGTGGCAGAATGTAAGCACACCAGCAACAACAAAGAGAAAATTAAAGGCTTTGTCCACATTACAGAAGTTACACAGGCTGCTTCTGCCTTAGTTGACGGAAAAGCACCTGACACCCACACACATAAGTGACTTGGTCTACTGCTGGAGAAGAAGTAATCAGCTTAAGGAGTAAAAGCTGTGGATCACCAGGTGAGTGTGTAGTCTCAGCCCTTTCATGTCCCATAGGGGAGTTATAGCCTTATTCCATATTACAGAACAGTTCCCAAGGCTACTCTAACTTGAGTAGGGCCAATCAGCATGCAGAGAATCAGGAACTCATAAAGGGGTTCCCAGACAACCTCCCATCCTGCTGCACCCAGCAGACAGTAGAACTACCAGAGTATCTGGCTGCTTGTTTTTTCTTTTCTTTCTACTCCTGCTATGTAAAACAGGACCAGGTTACATGAACACCCATAAGACCATGGGCCTGCCTGCAAGCTGCCTGGATGCCTTACCTATCAGAGTTATGAGGATCAGTGTATCTCAGGTAATACCAAGATGAATCAACAAATGTATCCATGGTGTCTGTTTCCCTCTTTGCAGGTCCTTTGCACCTGGGGAATAGAAAAATTTTCATCACTCCTAGATGAAAAATAAAAAATCACATGCTGATTTTTTTCACATCTTGAAGTTAATTAAAAAAATGCTATGAAAGCCCAAGAGAAAGGAAAAAGTATTTTGCCATTAAATAGAAGGATAGAAAGATACTCAAAAACCAGTACATTCTTCCGGTACTATCATTTATGACCACTTCCAGTAGAAAGAGTAGGGTAGGCTGCATTTCACTGGTTCTGGTTTTATAAAATGGTCTGTTTTTCCTGATTAGTTGGGATTCCACTTATTTGCAGGAAAAACAAATTTAGTTTAATTCCAGTTTTCACTGAGAAGGATCAAATCTTTCCCAGTCATTGTAATATTTTAATTCATGATTACTGCTAGAACTAATCAATATTTGCTAGGTATTATATTGAAGGTAAAGACTAAAACAGATTCAAAATGAGAAATTAAAAGCTGGAATAGTTTTTCCTTCCCCCATGAATAGAAATAATTTGCTCATGGAAACAAACAGCAGGAGGAAACTTTTTTAAAACTAGGTTTGCATTTATTGCAACTACTCAGTATTTAAGTATGTATCTGCTAAAATAATGATACATTTATAATACAAATGAAATTTTGCAACCTGCTGCAAACCTATGTGCACTATATATAACACAAAGTATGTCAACTGGCTGTTTAACACCTACAAAATTGTAACTCTAATCTGTTACTGTGCTTGGAAGCTTCAGCTAGCACACCATGAGACTGCCTGCTTGATAGTGTAAACCATAGAGAGCATATTAAACAAGCTCTTTAACAGCAACATTGGCTTCCTAGTCACTGCTGGGTGTGGTGAGTCTTTGGTCTATAAAGCCTTTATATGACTTGGGTCCTGACTACCTAAGACACCACCTCTCTCTTTGCTACAGAATTTCCAGTCGTCTGAGGCATGTGAGATGCATGTATTTAGTGGTAAGTATCAGAGGACTTATGTCTGAGTGTGATTAGTAGAAAGCCTTTCCTTTCCTTTCTCAGATGACTTAAACCAAGTTTGCTACCCTGAAATGCATGGTGCAAGGCAGGGGGTTGGACTGCTGTGGTGATGTCAGGTTAGCACCCCAGAATTTTTACTTGGTAACTGCTATCTCATGCTCCAGAATCTAAACTTCCATTAAAAAAGTCTCTAGCCTTTACAACTGTGGCGTTAACCTTCAAAATGTGAACCAAATGTGAGTTAATACAGTCACATCTGCCTGAGTTTGCAAACAGTCTGAAACATTCATCTCAATAGGATGCTAATTCTGAAACCAATGATAATTCAGTGTCTTAACTGAGCAAAACAAATAAGACAGGAGAGAGGCAACTACATTAATATCTGCATAATTCACCCTGAGTGGTGCCTCATTCTGGCAACATGAGTAGATGAGCTTGGGTTGCAGGCATAGCTTAGGGAAGTACCACTACTTATTTTCTCTACAGTCTGATCTATGTGCAAGGCCCATCTCTTAACAAGCTTTTACTTGTAGCTGGATAACTGCAGTGGAGGCATCTTGTTTCTAGTTGACTTTTTAGTTTAAAGAATTAATTATATTAAATACTGTACATGTGCTCAGAGACTAGGATAATATGTTTATTACAAAATAAATAAATATTGTATTATACTATAACAGAATTGTCTCAGCCTATCAACTTCTGGGATACTTAACATAGCAGTTATGCAATTCCCTGCACCCTAGCTGGCTATGGCTCAATAACTAGGTAAATTCATGGACAGGTCATCCAATGGTTATTAGCCAAGATGGTCAGGGACACAACCCCATGCTCTGGGTGTCCCTAAACCTCTGGTGTACAGAAGCTGGGACTGGATGACAGGAGATGGATCACTTGGTAAGTTTACCCTGTTCTATTCATTCCTCTGAAGCATTTGACTATCAGAAGACAGGATACTGGGCTAGATAGACCATTGGTCTGACCCAGTTTGACCTTCTTATGTTTTTAACATAGTGACAGCATGCAAGCCACTATACTCTGGCTACTGATAGCCTATAGCTAGCCATGCAGACTGCAGACATTTGCCTATTCACTGAATGATTTTTAACTACTGTGAAGTCATTATGCACATCCTTCCACTCATGACTGGTTACAGCTTCAGAACTCCACATCTGTATGTCCACAACCACAGTCACCTCAGCTTCCCATCTCTATTCATCCTGTTAATCCACCTAATCCCAGCTATTAAATACTGCATGTAGATGGAGTATATAGTCTAGAGGAGATCAGAACTAGTGTTCCCTCTTCACAACAAAGGCATTTCAACATTTATATCAGTGGGAAGCCTGGAGTGAGGGCAACAAAGATTTCAGTAGGAGTCAAGGATTTCAGACTAGAAGACATTGCTGAGAGCATTACTTCAATATTACAATTCATTTAGTCAGACTGCCTTGAAATACCCGTACTCCTTAACAAGTTACTGTGCAGTGTTTAAAAAAGCCTACCTGAAATGACATTTTCTTTGCAGAAATATGCAGATGTATGTCTTTCCTTTACTTAAAATGTATATCATCATCAAGTCAAACACGTTTCCAGTGAGCCACAGAACTGCCCTGTGTAAGCCGCTTAATTACAAATGAGAATCACGCTAATACGCTAACCTTCCAAAGTAACAGATTTACAGTTTCTGTGTTATGAAGAGTGAGAGCCTTAAGGTCACTTTATGTCCCTGGTTCTCCTGCATGGCAGCCTGACAATGCCCTGCTCGCTGGGCCAGCTCTGCTGACAGCAGGGTTTCACTATATGCCTGGAAAAGAAAGGGTTTCTATCAGGGATTCCTCGGGTTCTCTTCCCTCCACCTGCAGAAGGTGAGCACAAACTCCAATGTACCCAACACTCAACCAGCTCTGGAGACATCTTGTTTTCTCTAATGAATTTGTATCTTTCTAAATCTGAGCTACATGCTTCTTCTTAAAGAGCTGGGAAACAAACTGTATGATCAAAATCTGAATCATACACCTATTAACTCCTTCAACTTGAATTATTTGCTGCCGTGTAAAATGCACCAGGCATGTAAATCTTTATAAAAGATTCTACTGCAGTAGCACCATCTTATCTCTGTTGTTGGACTTATTAATTAATTGATCAATATGTTAGTTTCCTTAACAAAAGTAAATAAAACAACTCAATATACACTACAACCTTTGCTTTAACTCTGCTGTTGAAAGAGAAAAAAAATCTTGCAATAGATGAAGTAAGCAGTAGTATAAAGAACTGGAGAAAAAACTATTTTATTTTTCTCATTTTCTTTCCTCTAACTTAAAAACACTGAGCTTTTCCTCCACTAGGTATTTATCAAGAAAAAGAGCTTGTATTAAGAAACAGTAAGAGGCCATATTATGGCAAGAAGAATTATAGCAAGTGGACAGTATATAACATTTGCTCACCTTGGACATGAACAGTTTATCCACTCTGGGACAGTTTCTAGAGGGGAGGCTCCCTTTCCTGTAAAGGTGGTTATATTGGGCAACTCCACAGGTAAGTCCTCATAAGGCACAGGGACTGTGCCACAGGTCTGGCAGTGGATTATGGGAATAGGTGTTCCCCAGTACCGCTGTCGAGATATTAACCAATCTCTTAACTTGTCACTTGTTAGGTTTCCACCTACTCCTTTATTTTTGGCCTGCTGAGTTAGGGCTTTTAAAGCTTCCTGCCTAGTCATGCCTGTGAACTGATAAAAAGAAAGACAGACATTTGATATATGCTACTATTGACAATGCTGTAGTAGCCCCATTATGTTGTTTTTCATATGCATAGTACACAAACCCAACATTCAAACTCTGATGGGACAGAGGTTCCAAGCATTTTTGAGGTTCCCCATTTTTTCCCCCTGGTTTACACCCATCCACCTTCCAGGCTTCCACATGTCAATCACCAAGCTTCTGGTCACCCTTGAAAGCCTATCAAGGTCACTCCCTTGATGGGCTGAATGGGTCATTGCTGAGGAAGGGCCTGTTTAGCACTCCTGGCCTCTGTTGGCCAGATATCTGCAGTTAAGGTGGACTCTCCTTACTGCAAGGCATCTGGTATATTAGTACTCCAAGGCAGACATTGCAAGAGTATGGGTGGTAAACCAGACCTTCCCTCACATATTCATTCTGGGTGGTTTTATACTTCACTTCTTCATATATTTTAAACATTCAATATCCCTCCCACGTTAGACAGACACAAAACCTGTCTCCTATTGAACAACAATCCCCCCTTCCTCAGATTAATATGTGCAGACCCTCAAGAACTCTTCAGCGTTAGTTTAGGGTTACACATCCTTACACAGCCATGAAGCTATCAAATGGCCTGTAATAACATTTCCAGTGAATACAACCAAGGGGACTAATATATTAACATTTAACCTGAGAGTAGAACAAATGTGTAAATGAAGAACAGGAAAAAACATCAAGCCATTTTCATGATGGAATTTATTATTCCTTCTCTACTGTAAAATTTAGACTATTATAGCATTTTTCGTCTTTCAGGTATGTTAAATTTTGAAGACTAAGCCTCAAAAACAAAATATTTGGCATTTTCCAGGTAGTGGGTTTTAGTATGCACTATCACTGTACTTTAGAAAGAAACGCAGTACAAGTGCACCAACCTCTCCAGAGCTGACAAGGGTCTCCAAACCATCTGGTAGTGTTTCAATGACTTCAGAGAAAGAGAGACCCAGATTCTGAGCAACAGCAGCATCTTCTGGATTAGTACTAGGAATTCCTAGCCATGGAAGGGGAAAAAAGTCAGTTCCATAATTGGCTAACATGGCTGCTCCTCATCATTTTTTTGAGGAAAATATTTTCATCTATTGGCACTTACTTACTTCTTTCCAACGGCTTAAAAAAGATATTGGCAAGTAAAATTTTGCCAAAATTTCACAAAATTGATAAAAACAAGATTGTGAAATTTCAGTGACAACCTTTCTAAACAAAACATTCTCTTATAGTGTTTACAACCCAAAAATCATTATTACTGTGCTAACTCAGGAGAACCTGAAAATGATTGGGTCTGAAATTGACTAAAAATAAAACTGAAATTGACTAATCTGTTTTCATTTACCAAATTGAGAGAAATGCAAAAGCTAAGCAAGTAGCATAAATACATAGTAAGTTGTTTTAAAATAACTGAAGGTGTTATTAAAACAAAGGTAAGGTTTTTTAAAAAAGAAAATGACTTAACTTGACAATGTCCTTCAACACTGCTGCCCCTTCTTTTTAAAATCTCATCCTTTGCTATCAGAAAGTCATCTCCAGTAATTCCAATTCAAAGTAATGTCAACCTTCCATTCAGAATAAAGCTAGAGAAAGCATTTCTTACTATTGCCAGAATAAGCCATTCTGTCAGAATAGTTAAGGCCACCGATGACATCTTTTCCCACTGTGCCTTATTACCTGGGACATTCACACATTTTGAATACAAGTCTTTTCTAACCCACACAGAATTCTTTTTATTGCTGCAACTTATCAATATCAAAAAGTGATGTATTATTTTAAAATAACCCTTGTTCACAATGTTACCGCCTTACAGCTGCAATCTGTTCAGCAGCTGTTGTGTTTCACCTACAAGGACTGCATTCTGGTCATTAGCTAAGAAATCCCCATTTTTAGTATACATATTTATATTAAAATATTAATTATATGTTGTTTGACATACTATATAACATGGTGATGTATATCTTTCTATGTTAGTTTGTTTTCATTTTGGGGGGGGTCAATTCTATTTTTTTAAATAAGTCTGAATTACTAGGTTGGCCTCCATCAGCCAGAACAGCAGATATATTGACCAACCCAAATGTCAGGTTAGCTTTTTTCCTTCCTATTTTTGGAAACAACTGTTGATATTATAGATCTAGAGGCTCTCAAAAAATGATCTAAAAAAACCAACCACCTTAGAATTATCGTAAAACAAACTTGAATTCAAAAATAACATACACCTTTACTCAGCCACGGAACTGCCCATTATGTTAAATATTTCAACTGTGTCGATATGTGGAAATACATAAGCAGATAACTAATGCAAAACAAAAGACCAAACAAAAAAGAAACCAAAATGTGGAATCACTATGCAACTCCACAGCAGAAGCTCCCTATTGCCATTCTTAAACCCCTATTAAAGCATGGTATATCGGTATCTTACTAAGTCAAAGAACCCCCTGCAATCCACCACAGGTGGTTTTACCATATGCTGCACAAATAGAGGAAAGCAGCTCCCACATTTTAGTCTATTTTTCTTTAGAGAAGATGATGATGCCACTGTCCTATATCAAAACTCAACAGTTGGCATCCAGCATTTCCTGGGAAGATCTGGGAGGTATCCAGCATACATAAGACCAAAGTACACGCCAATGAACAAAATAAAGGCTTGTCATGAAAAGTAATATTAGGGAAACTCAATTATTTGGCCTCTCCTATTCCAGAAATTGTTTTGATATTCTTTGGCTCCCAAAAATACAATGGCGTATTAGTTATTTACTCCTTGGAGATTAAAGTGGAAGTACGTGACAAAAATGTTGAACAGAACTGTATTATATCAAATCATCACTAGGAGTCAATAAAGAATATGACACATGGAAGTCATATTAATACTGATGGTATACCACACCCAAACTAATAAAGATGCAGTAAAATATCCTATCAATACTCATACAATATTTTAAAATTATTTTTTAATTGAATTTAGTTCTTATCAAAAGTTCCAGATTAACAGCCAGGAGCTTGACTTTCTTTATCTAAAGAAAATTTCAAGATAACCTATTCATTCAAAAATGTATGTTTGAAGCAATTTGTGTGTACAAAGCTACTCAATACATACACAAACAAGTATGTGCTAAAATTCTGAACGTGCAAATTTGGAGACTCTTTGAAAATCTGGACTCCTCCTAATAAAACAGCTAAGTTTGTTTAACATCTTGAAGAAGATGAATACCTTTAAAAAGTTACAAGGCTTTGTAACCCTGGCTGGCTTTGCAAAGGCTGAGAGAGGGACACCGAAAAGGAAGGCATTGATTGACTGAGGGTACATCTACACTACAGGGGGGAGTCGATTTAAGAGACGCAAATTCAGCTACGTGAATAGCGTAGCTGAATTCGACGTATCGCAGCCGACTTACCCCGCTGTGAGGACGGCGGCAAAATCGACTTCTGCGGCTTTCTGTCGACGGCGCTTACTCCCACCTCCGCTGGTGGAGTAAGAGCGTCGATTCGGGGATCGATTGTCGCGTCCCGACGGGACGTGATAAATCGATCCCCGAGAGGTCGATTTCTACCCGCCGATTCAGGCGGGTAGTGTAGACCTAGCCTGAGTGAGAAAGACAGGGAAGATACAGGAGAAAGACAATACATGGAATCTTTAAGATTTTAAAAAACACTTTTTTGGACTAAGCCAAGTTAGGTTGTTGGTTTTTTTTTTTTTTTTAATCTCTAAAAGAAATTGAAAAGATCCAAAACACACTTTGTTTTGTTCCCTTCTGTCTTCCCTCCTCAATGTCCTCCCCCACACCTGTTCATATGCATCTTCCTAACATGTATTAAGCTTTTACAGCTCTTTAAGACTATCTAAAAAAAAATGTTGTGAAGGAAAATAAGACAAATAAGATGAAGGTAGAAACAACCTAAAAAAATCTTCACTTTAACAGTTCACATCACTCACCTACATTTTACTGATTCTAAACTGGGCATAATAATACAGTCTATTATATGATTGGGCTAACGAGTTCCAACCCATGCTGTGAAACTCATAATATCACAGCTAGTAGGCTAGTCACATCACTTGATTTATTCAATCCATTTTTTCTAATAACTGTTAATAAAGAATTTCTAAGAAAATTCAGCACCTTATGAGAACATAATGAACTTAAAAACTGATTAAACAAGAACCCAAGAGGAACTCTGTATTTTATTATTGATTTTTTGTTCAATCAGATCTCTGAAGTGGCCCGTTTTCCAGAAAGCTGCACATTTGGGCTAATATTCCACATTTGCCACCCAGCCTGGTCCTGCCCTGTAGGGTAGCATACATAGGCTAATATTCCCCAGGACATAAAAAGCAGCTAGGTGCAAAGAAAGAAGCAGAAGAGAGTCTAGGAGAAGTAGCAAGGCAAGACAGGGCTGAGAGTCCTGGGGATGGTACATTCAGGTTCCCAGCTTTGAGATCATGGACCATGATCAAACACAATTATTGTACATTCTGTATTATTTTATTGATATCAAAACAAATACAACTAGATAAAGCCAAATTTGGATTGATCATTTGAATCATTTATTGAAGTAAGGCAATTTTTAAGTTATCTTGTTTGGGGAGTTCTATTGTGTGTAGGCATAGCAAAACTATACTGCTATGAGTTTGATCTTTGGCAAATATTTTTTACGTCAAGCATTGATGCTGTTCTGTTTTGGTATGTGTGAGAAAGAGACACACTCATATTCACATGTCTTGTATTATAATTCTTAAGAGAAAATGTGGAGGTCTTCAACCTTGGGGTCTCACTACAGTCAGCTTTTAATTTTATTAATTTTTTATAATATTTTTCTCTTTCATTACAATATATTACCCTGTCTCTTTGTATTCAGACTTGTAACAAATTCTGCGTAGCTACCTTTCCTTTCCTTTTCCCTTAATTAAGAAGAATATTGCCTCTAAAGGCCCTAAGACAGCCATTATCTTCAAAGGTTTACAGCAGCAGTTCTGGTGCTCCAAAATGGTAACTGAAAAATTTCAATGTTGCTCTTGTATTTTAAATGTCACTTACCTATTTTAGTATCAATATAGTTCTCAAAAGCTGATTTTGCAGAGATGACTATAGGAACCTCCTGTTTGGTAAGTAAGTTCACTGCTGTCACTGACGTAAGACAGTCTGCAAATACATGTAAAGATCACAATAATTAAAATATGACACCAACAGTGCTAAGAATCTCACTTATTAATATGAAAATTTACTGTGCTTTGCATCCTAATTTCTTATGCGGTAACCCACTGAATCAAAGTACTTTCTTTGTTTAAAGGGGAGAGACTCAATTTAGAATCTAGTCAATTTCAAAATACGAATTTAAAGCTGTTAAAAGCTTCTGTAAGTCCCACTGCCAAATTTTGTGATTTAAAAAGCTGTTTTTCTGTTCCCTGATGGCATGTGAAAGATCCCCACAAATAAGAGACACTAACTCACTATATAGTAGAAACCGAGGAACAGACAATGTGCAAAGAACTGATAAATGTACAAAGTAAACCAAGTGAACCATTATTGTTCTCCAATTTCTTTCAGGGTTACTCATTTTAGAAATTACTTGAAACAACAGCTGGTACAACAATTTCAGACCAAAGCATTATTTTGGCTGACAATGCCCCTTTAAAATAGTAAATTCTAGGGCTGCCAATTAATCGCAGTTAACTCATGCTATTAACTCAAGAAAAAATCACGATTAATTGCACTTATAACAATAGAATACCAATTGAAATTTATTAAATATTTTTGAATGTTTTTCTACATTTTCAATATTGATTTCAATTACAACACAGAATACAAAGTGCACAGTGTTCACTTTATATTATTATTTTTGCTAATGGGAGAGATGGATAGCTCAGTGGTTTGAGCATTGGCTTGCTAACCCCAGGGTTGTGAGTTCAATCCTTGAGGGGACCATTTAGGGATCTGGGGCAAAAATCTGTCTGCAGATTGGTCCTGCTTTGAGCAGGGTGTTAGACTAGATGACCTCTTGAGGTGCCTTCCAACCCTGATATTCTATGATTACAAATATATGCACTGTAAAAATGATGAACCAAAAAAATAGTATTTTTTAATTCACCTTAGACAAGTACTGAAGTGCAATCTCTTTATCATGAAAGTGTAACTTACAAATGCAGATTTTTTTGGTTACATAACTGCACTCAAAAACAAAATAGTGTAAAACTTTAAAGCCTACAGGGGGTCACGAGGTTATTACATGGGGGGGTCGCAAGCTGTCAGCTTCCACCCCATATCCTGCTTCACCTCCAGCATTTATAACAGTGTTAAATTTTTTTAAAGTGTTTTTAATTTATAAGGGGGGGGTGTCATACTCATAGGTTTGCTGTGTGAAAGGGGTCACCAATACGAAAGTTTGATAACCACTGCTCTAATGGAAGAGTGCGCCAGGCCCTGGTTCCTCAAATGGAGCAGGTAGTCCAGGACAGCCGGTATGGAAGAATGTGAGGGAGAGATGCCACATTCGGACCTCCAGCGGGAAAACTCGTCTATTTGGCCAGCTAAGTCAGTCTAGTTGAGGGTTTCCTACTCTCCAGAAGGACCTGTTGGACTCCTTCGGAACAGGCCCGCTCCTCTGGGTTCAGCCACACAGCATCCACACCGAGAGGTGGAGGGACTCGAGGTTGGGGTGTAGGAGCCAACCGTGCTCCCGTGACAGCAGGTCTGGTCGGTTGGGCAGGGGCCAGGGAGGGGCCGCTAACAAGTTCATGAGTGTGCCGAACCAATGCTGGCGAGGCCACGTTGGGGTGATCACGAAAACCTGCACTTTGTCTCTCTTGATCTTTGCCAGGACCCGGCTGATGAGTGGAATTGGAGGGAACACGTACATCATGACCATGACAGGAGGAAGGCACCGGAGAGGATCCCCTGCTCAGACCTTGCCAAGAACAGAACGGATGGCACTTCCTGTTCTGTCTAGTGGCGAACAGGTCCACTTGGGGAGCTCCCCACCTCTGGAAGATCATGTAGGCTACCTCCGGGTGGAGCGACCACTTGTGGTGAGAGGAGAAATCCGCCAGCATATTCTTGACACCAGGAAGGTGACAAGCTTCTAGGTGGATTTTGTGGCTGATGCAGAAATGTCATAGACAGAGTGCCTCTTGACATAGGCCTGACAAGCGTGCTCTCCCTTGCTTGTTGATGTAGACCATCGAGGCTGTGTTGTCCATCAGGACTCATACCACCTTGCCCAACAGGTGGGGCAGGAAGACTCTGCACACCAGCCAGACTGCTTGGAGTTCTTTGATGTTTATGTGCAACTTCGCCTCCTCGAGGGACCACATCCCCATGTCTGGAGGTCGCCGAGATGCACACCCCAGCCCAGGTCCGAGGCATCCAACACCAACTCGATGGAGTGAAGGGGGTTGTCGAACGGAACCTCCTCCAGGACTGTCCTGAGGTCAGTCCACCATCACAGCGAGGTAAGAAACGCCTGAGGAAGGGTAACGATCTTTTCCAGGAGGGTCTCGGAACTGGGAATAGATCATCCCCAGCCATTGTTGCAGGGGCTGCATCCTGAGCCTGGCATGGCAGACCACGTAAGTGCACACTGCCACGTGACCCAGCAGGCACTGACCGACCCTGGTTGTAGTCAGAGGGAACGCGAAGACTTTCACAATGAGGTTCGCCAACACGTGGAACCTTTCCAGCGGCAGGAATGCTCTGGAGCAGGTCTAGTCGAGGACTGCTCCGATGAACTCTATCCTTTGCACCGGCACTAACGTTGATTTTTGTCGTTTACCAGTAGGCCCAGGGATCGGCACGTGGCTTGAAGCACTGCGACATCCCTTTGACTTTAATGGGGCCAGGATGTTACTCCAGTTCCTCTATGTATACATATACACAAATATATAAGTAAATGGCATGAGTGCATAGCTATACTATAGTAGAGGTGTGTGGCACTGTACCTCAAAATAGCACCCTGGAACCCACATATTGACCACTGTGATATGATTAGGATATGTTTTGTACACAGTATGCCTTGTGAGGTATCATTTAAAAAGTCTCAATCCGCTGAACATTACTATCCTATTGGATTGTATGTACTATCATTGTATGTGAAGTGATGAAGTATTGCTATGTGTTTGTTACTGAAATATGGGGTAAGTAGAAAAAGCCCACAATTAGCTTTTCAGTGACAACAAAGAACAACTGATACGACAGATTTACATCAGGACCAGCCAGATATGTGTTGATGGCCCATCAATAAGAATCCACTGTCCCAGAGACTCCTCAGAGAGGGCATGTACCGAATGGGGGTTACCTAGCCCCCCATGTCACAAAGGCTGGTGCATGTCCACTTTCCTTTGACAAAGTGGTGAACTAATTGATGAGCTTGCACTGTTCAAGAGGAGGTCTTGAGCTGTATAAAACGGTACATTTCTGGGGTGCAAGTCTGGGGAAATTGGCTGGGGACTCTCTCTGTATAATTCATGAGTGGCTTACAGAGCATTCATACAACTTAGCTTGGTGTGTCCCTGTATGTTGTTGACTGAGTGAGCACAGCACCTGGAGGGGTTTTGCTGCTTGTCACTAGCACATTGTAAGAGACAGCCCAGGGAGGAGAATTAATGGGATACAGCGGTCCCACAGTCCAGATTGTACCCCAAGGGTGTGTCACAAGGTGTGTAACTGTTTCCATTTTAAAGGTTCTTTTCAATTGCTTATAACTTTCTCAAACTTTCATCATTCTGGCTGAAATTTTCTAGATTTGGTCTCACAGGAGGGTGAATTCCTATAGGCAACTTGAAGCAACAATGGTTCGACTATTTTTGTGTAGGAAATGTGTAAAAAATACACTTTTGCCATTATCAAAAATAACACGTGATCTTTACTGCACAGCTTTTGCGCTCCAGTCATCTGGCATAGGAATATAAAAGTTGGCAAGGATGTAATCCCTAGGACGCAGCTGTGCCTTTCTCTGGGCCAATGAAAATCTGTTTTGATTTAGCTGAGTTACAAGAGCTTAACATGCATTTCTCACAGGCATAGTGGTTTTTAATCATACAACAGAATCCCTCTGATATGCCAGCTCCAGTTTCTCCTGGCTCCCATGGAAGAGGCTCGGGATAACCAATACCTTCCGGCCCCAGTTTCTTCTGATTCCATATGAAAAATATCAAGGTTGTAAAAATGAACCATTCAAGTCAGGAAGTACTTAACTCTGCTCTCTGCGCATTTACATTATGACACTGTCTTTAATTACATGTTCACTTTTTTTTTCCCTGTAGGATTATTTCCTCATTCCCTGCAGAAGTTGGAGAGTATGAAGTTAATGAGGCAGTGGGCCACACACTGAGCAGCAAAGATAAAAATAATTCTTGAACAGCTGCCTCATTCTCTGAGCCATGTATTCTGCCACTGAATGAGGTGGAAAAAGTAGTATGCAGTTATGATATTAAAGACACTGAGCAAGATTCTCTGGTCAGCTCTGTCCCTACGCACAGTGCTGCAAAGGGGATGGAATCAGGCTCATCTTTTCTGTTGGGGATATCCCCCATGTGGGCAAGTCTCCAACAGCTGTAAACCTGGCATAGCCAGTTCCTATATCACCCTCCCTACAGCTCTCAGTGCAGCGAGCATGTGACAGGTGGGGAAGAGTAGCTGAAATGCGCTGTGCTCCAACTACCCACAGCAGGCAGATGGCCCCTTAGGGACTATTGTGAGCTGTGGCAATTTAGAGTAGCCCTAAATCTATGCCCAGGCCAAACATTGGGAAGAGAGTCAGGGAGATACAACTGGTTCTCTGATGGTTTCCTTATCTGTTCCACTGAGCATGAGAGGAGCAAAGCAGAGGATTTGACCTTATATTATAAACACGTGTGCATAAGGTAGTTAATATTTTTTCAATTTAATAAAAATATAAGTATTAGCAGAATGAAGTAGAAATAAAATATGTATATTTTGTACTTAATCTGCTTTAAGGCATCCTGTTACTCTTATCGTTGTGAGTTTCCAAATGTAACAAAATAACAGGCCATACCTCTACTTAGCCCAGGTGAGTGCGGTGTCTCTTAGGAAGTCAGTTACAACTCTCTTACCTGGAGGACAGTCTATGTCAGCTCCAGAACAAGTCAAGGCCAGCCATGGGGCTGCTCTAACTTACACCACTGGGACATTATGCCAGCTGAGGATCAATGTGACAAAGCATATCTTAGCCATGCTCCCTTCACACTCCCATCTTTTCCCACATGCCCCCGACACCCCGGGGATGGGGTAGGGCAGAATGGGGAGATATTTGTGGCTGACTCTGCCAGCTTTATGCCAATGAGGAGGCAACACTCCACCAGGACAATTTTCCACTGGGCAACTACAACCAGAATCTGGACCTTTCTACCATTCATGGTAGAAAAGGCCCAGAACAGAAACAGGAATCTGGCCCACTACTTTCATGCAACCAATTGACTTCTTTAAAGGTTTATCAACCATTCCAGCTATTGTCATCCCACCATCCTTGAAGTCAGGATGAGGTAAAGTGATACTACTTGACATGTACAAAGAATCAAAAGGAATTGTTCCTCCTCAACAGGAATTTTCATGCTCATGCTCCCCCCCCTTTTTTTTAAACTTTAGTCTCTAAAACTATCACAATTCCAGAATAAAATAAAAATAAAAACTCACCTTTGCCTGGGATGAACTCACTCTGCAACACTTCCTTCAGACTACTATTTCCATGCAGTAGTCTATGATCAGGTAAAACATATAAGTGGGAAGCTCCATAAATGGCTTCAGGTGTATAGGTATAGGCAGCTAGCTTCTCTCCTGTTTCTTTGCCATTAACCTGATAAAGAGCAGAAAGTATTCCAGGGCAGTTTTATTGCTAATTTTCTCCATTAAAATTCCATTTTTTATATTTCCTTCTGCTGTGACAACTGGTCTATAACTTTTGCTTGCTTAGGAATATAACATGGAAAGTACGTCAAATTGTTTTCAATAAAGAATGTTATAAATAGGTGCAAGAGAAACAGACAGACGGACTAAATTATTCCAAACAGAAAGTCACACACATATTGATATAATCCAAGGACTGTTCAAATTATGTTTGTTAAAAGCATATGACATGGAGCTGGAAGTTAGTGCACCAAAACTGCTGCATCAGATATTAGGGTTAATGGTGTGCAAAATGATGTGGGGTTGGGCTATTCCATCAATCACTCTTTGCTAAAAGAAACAGACTTTGGGGGGAAAGAAAATAGAGAAAGAACTGACAATATGAAATAACAGAAATAGTGGCTACTGAAGCAAACTTCACCTTCATGGCTTCCATCCCCACGATCTCTTGGGACCCCGGGGCCTTCATTACCCTAATCCTGAGATGTCCTGACCAGATTGGGCTAGAGAAAGGGACCCAGATAACATCGCCACCTCTACTGGCTCCAGCTGATTCCCAAACACCACTTGGGATGAAAGGGTGGACTTTAACAGTAGCAGCAGCAGAAGCAACAACTCCAGCCCATCACAACTAACTTCTCTTTTACCCAAAAGGACAGTTATTAACACCACCTAAGACATTGTCAAACAAGGGTTTTTTTCCTTTTAAAAACTCTCTCTAGCTAAAGGGAATAAGGGATATTGTTAAAATGAAAGCCTTACATAATACTGCAGATTTCAAATGCTTTAGCTATTTTTCCTTCTTTTCTGTATCTTTAATAAAAGGTTACAAGGATTTTTAATGGTTGCTATGGTACTAAGCTGGCCGAGGTCTCTGTGTACCAAACCCAGGACCTTGTTTAACACTGTTTATTGTTGGACAGGGACTGGGGTTATGTTAACACCTTTGGCCTATATAGTCCATCTAACTTAATACAATACCACACCTTCCTTCCTATTCACATTAAAGGCCCAATTAATCCATCAGATACACAAGGATAACTTCCAATATCACAGGCAGAAGCTAACTCTCCAGAGCTCTAATCCTGATTCAGACATAATCTCTCTCTGTGGCTCTGGAAAAGAGAATCTTCTTGCCTCTATTTCCCCATCTATAAAACAGGGATAATCATACTTAAGAACCTCTTTGGGTATTTAGCCTTATCCAATGCTACACAAGTCAATGGGAGCCTTTCCATTCACTACAACAAGCACTGTATCAGACCCATTGTGAGAATATTACAGTTAATGTTTGCAAATCACTTTGATGTATTATAAGTAAATGACTAATGACTTTATGCACAGTAAGCATTATTCAGGGACTGCTGTATTCTGTGACTACAGAATTTACCATGAAAATCTATCCCTTGCCACAGATTTGTGATCCAGAATCTAAACTTTCATATAAAAAAAATTATGGCTGTGGCCCTAGTGGTAGTGGAAATAATCTTGTTTTTCTGAGTTTGCAGGCACCCTGCGACAATAGTTCTGACAGAAATTGCCCCATTATTCATCTAAGTGAGGTGCTGAATCTGAAATCTAAACAGAATTTTAAACTGTTTCCATCTCCAGCCAACTCACTGACATTTCTACAATGAAGTTAAATGCTGCAGATTTTTGTACTTACAACACATAATGAAAACTGGAAAAGATGGCACAATATGAAATAAATTAAGTGTAATATATGACTAACACTAGGGACACTGTACACTAATATTTATTTTCATATTTTATTAATTAAAAATCTATTTTTTAAATTTAAATTAAGCTACTGCAGAATTGCTACAGAATTTTGGTCCCGTTAAATGCTTTAGCACATGGAGCCCTCAGAGGAGATTTTCAGTGCACATCGAGGCATACATTTACAGAAGCCTCTAACTAAGGTGGCTGGTTTTTCAGATGTGCAGAGCCCCTTTAAAGTATTTCAATTTGGGCTCCCAGAAATTAAAACACCTAAAGTCATTAGTCATTTATGAAATGTTAGGCCAAAGCAATTAGGCACCTAACTCTCACTGAAAGTGATTGGGAGCCAGGTGCCTAACACCATTGGTACCTTTGAAAATCTCTCACTTGATCATCATCCAGAGTCATTTCACTTTTGCATCTTTCCAAAAGGATGTCAAATATTCTCTTTGTTCTGTGGACAGAGCACAGGGCAAAGTGTACCTGTACTTTTCTTAAGTTCTCCTTATCTACCTACCTCTTTTATCCAGCACTTTTCTTTAGGTTCCTCAGTGTCTAGTTTTCTAGTTTGCATTATATGTAACTACTTACTACTTACAATAAATAGTACTATCAATATAAAGAGGCTCAATTTAGCATAGATTTCCCAAGAGGGGAGTTCTTCCATTGCCAGTGGAGGAAAAGAAAAACAAACAAACAAATCTCTTAACCCTGTTGCTCTACACTGATATCTATGGGTTTGAGAGCTATATGTGTGCATCCTCAACAACCCCTGTTGCTTTAAAAAGTTTCTGTGGTCATGCATGTTGGCAGGACTAATGTTAGGAAGGAAAACAAATATTGAGCAAAGAAAGCTTCTGTACCCAAAGCATTTAACCAAAAATAGTTTTAAAGACTCAACTGCTAAAGAAAAGCCAGTAGTATTTTGTCCTACTAAGAACTAATAATAGTTTCATGTGATTTTTGTCCCAAGAGCTAATAACCACAGTAGCAAAAATACTTATACTTGATGCAGCTGGCTTTTCTTGGGAATGGTTGGAGATGAAAGAACTACTAAGTTAGATCTGTATAACTTCTCAGCACTCGTCAGTGGACTTTGTGGACCCTAGGAGACACAGACAGAACTGAACAGCTACAGGGTTCCAAACTGCTGAACTCACACACCAAATTTTGGTGGAGGATTTCAGTTTCTTGCTTTTTATACTAATGAGAAGCTACTAAAATTTTACTACTTTTCTCCCATGAATAAATTCCAGTACAATGAAGAACTGGAGCTTTTAAATATGACTCATGAAGCTGATATGATCATTATGAGAACACTCAGAAACACAGCTCAACATACCTGTCCTCTTTGTTTTATCTTAACCCTACATATCTGTTTTTTACTCCGTCCAGTGATTAAATGTAGTCTCATGACATTACCTTCCCACTAAATCTGATATATTTAAGTAATCTCGCATCTTAATTTGCTTTGGGTTAGAATTGTGAATTTTGATCAGCCACAGATTTGGGTTTATTAAGTAAAAGTTCACTTACAAAAATACTAAGGTCTGCCACAATTTTTCTGCAGGAAATTTTCAGTGAGCTTTGAATGTTATAGTGCAGTAAGAATAAAAATAATGCAAAGTGTTATATATATGTAATAGTATCCTTAATTTTCAAAAATCTTCTAGATATTAAGAAAAATCCCATTATGCATTTCAGTCATTTTGCATAATCCACACAAAGAAAGGGATGGTCAAATTTCTGACTCACCTTTAACACGAAGTCAAGATAACATCCAACACAATCACCTATCCAGTTTGCTTGCATTTCCTTTATACCATACCACTCAGGGAGATCTGACAAAGAATCAAGCATGGCCTGGCACAATATAAACGAGGTGTTAGCAACTCTAGCATATATATAAAACCACATACATTAACACTTTCAAATTTAGTTATATAAAGGGGCACAGCAGTAGAGCTGCAGGAGTAAAAACATGAACAAGGTGTTGTTCTACTATAGCTCCCCCAATTTCATATCTTTCAAGAACTAGTGGAACATGGCAAAGGCCAGAAATGTAGTGCATCCAATTGTTTGAGATATAGCTTCCTTATGGGCACAGTCTTAAACAGTGAACACAGAAAGAGTAGGAAGAAAAAGTAAACAAGGAAAGATACCATTTTAAATCTGTGTTAATTGTAGTCCTGATCCTGAAAACATGCATGTGATTGGTCCTGTTGAGCACAACAGGACTGTTTATATGCATATGTGTTTTCAGGACTGAATGCTATTTTTGGACTAGTTCTCTGGCTAATAGCCTGGAAATTGTATAGAGATAGGTCAAATTTATTTATCCTAAATTTTTCAAACTCAACTAATTGTCATACTATAACAATGAGGCTGATGCTGTCCATCAGTTTTACATACGTTATCAGATTTTTATAATTTTATTTATATTTTACCTAGCACAATTGGCCCAATTCTGAATGGAACCTCTGGTTGCTATTGTAATACAAATAATATTAATTGATGATAATGGTGTATATTAAATGTAAAATGTTATGTTAATACAATATTACGGATAAGATTCTACCCACACAACAAAGAAGAAATTCACAGCGATGGTTCCCACATTATCCATTATTTTCTTCCCATTCATAATGTAGCAGTTTGCATTACTGTAACTTGTATGTAGTTTGTGTACATTTATATAGAGAGTTATAGACATATTGCTTTCTTGGTGTGCACGCTCAGGCACACAAACAGCATGGAGGATTATGATTGCTGTTGGAAGCATTGCTTTAAATCTGCTCATTTTGTTTACATAATTTGAAAAGTTTTTTTTTAAATGAAAAACACACAGAATTTAAACAAAGAATTTGGGGGGGGGGGTATAATGGAAACCCCTTCTGAATCTATACTTCATAAGATTTGACATTTTTGCTAGGAGTATTCCAGCACTGTCCAAAACTTTTACCTTGGCAGAAATACAGCTGGAGGCATGACTCAGACAGAAAGATAGTTGATACAATGTTCAGTAGTTAATTTCTAAGTAGAGGAAGTCAATATGCTGTATCACTTGTCCTTAAATTGCACAGCTCCAACATGAAACATGAAAGCCTTTTATTATTTTGTTAATTTACAATTACCAGGGAGCATGGATCATTCATACTATACGTCACTAATTAGGCTCCACTTCATAGAATATAATTACTTAACACACAATTTGCTCTTTTCAATTATTATATTTTAATTATACTAAAACTGTCCAAAATTATGTACTTAAAACATGTTACAAATGCTAGTTGCTGGCTACTGATGTTTTTACTATGATTCACTCTATGATTCACAATATAATACATTTTTGTCATCCACACCCCATAGCTACATACTGTTTTGGATTATTATTCCTTATTAGATTAACCTTCTTTTACATCCTCAACTAACTACTTCCTTTTCTGCTGATTTATAGATATAAGAATGCCAAGCTGCTGCTTTTTAAAACAATAATGTAATGACTTTAGTGGAATATAAACCAACAATTCCCTTTATTGTTTCATGTTCTGTTTTAAATGTTCATGTTAAGACTATTTACCTTGCTTGGTGTCCTGTTCCATAGAGTACTGGGCTCTATCTACAGTGAATACTGAGTGCTTACATATAATAACCCAATGCAAGAAATGCAGAGGACAAACCAATGAGTGGATAATTTCTTTTAA